GGGGGGCCCATGTCAGGCTCTGGGCACCATAACACAATCCCATTTGATTAAAAGAAATTTCTGGTAATGAATTAAACAGACCCAAGGAAAAAAGGACACGGTGGTGATATATTCTTCTGGCACCCAGCACACAGGGAAGAGGGGAGAGAGAAAGGAGACATAAATAAAAGGGACTACTCACTGGGGCTTTTTTCTTCAGCAAGGTCACAGGCACAGAGCAGGTCAGAATCGATTGAGATGGGTTTCTGCTTAATCCAAAACTTAGTGCTGGCTTTCTGATTCGTAACAGGGTCTATCTCTACTTTGTCTCCAGAGATACCTGTAAGGCCGAGGGGAGGACAAAAAAAGAAGCCACAAGAAGTGGAAGGTGTAAGTGATTTCAGTTTAATCATTCGACCTGCTTTGTAAATCATACATTGGAGGTACACGAGCTCTTTCTCAGGGCTCTGGGAAAGGCCATGGGCTTCAGACAGATATAAGTAGACTCCGAACGGCACACAGAAGCTGCACAGTTTGGTTTCTCGAGTGGGTGAGGTGAGGGGGTGGACAACCAAAAGTTACATTAAAAAGTATTAAGAAATATGCCTTCGTAGATATAACACAGAAACAATTACTTACACTGTGTTAATCCTACATCATCTATATATTACAATTACATAAACTATAAGGCTCATTTAAAAGCCAATTATGATCCGTGGTCTGTGTTTTTTTTTTTGTAATCTTCACCGGAGGATATAAAGAAATATATATGTATATATATTTGATGAGAGAGAGAGAGAGAGAGAGAGAGAGAGAGAGGGAACATGGATGTTTCCTATGTGCGAGCAACATCACACCCGCAACCATTCTGGTTACAGGATGACGCGCCAACCAACTGAGCCACCCTCCCTTACCCCCCAGTGGTCTTTTTTGTTGTTATTTTAGAATAAGATCTGGGTTGGAGATAAATCTGTACTATCACCTATATGTAACATTAGCCTAAACAGCCAAGCTACCAATGAAGTTTCTAATGGGAAAAATCTCACAAAATAAAAATGGGAAAAACCTCTCTCTTCCCTTCTCTGACATTACCCACGCTAGACTTAAAGGAGGTCGCAGGAGGATCAAAGGTCCTTCACATAAAGCCGCCCAAGTTTAAGTGCTGGAGCCTGGCTTCAGGCTGTGGAGGTCACTGCTCCAGGGAGGGAGAGTCAGCAGGGGGTGGGCTTTATGCCACAGGACTTTTTAACAGGGATCCAGAAAGTTACATCCTGGTACTTCAGGTTCCCCCTCAGAATTGAGGCAGACGTGCCACACTGAGCAGGGACTGGAAGCAAAGGTGTCAGGATGCAGGTGGCGCCCAGGATGGAGGGTGTCCTGGGCACCAGTGGACGTGCACAGCGCTGCTCCCCGGTCACGAGCAGTATAGGTTCAGCCTGACACACAACCCAGGCTAGATGCTCTCTCCTTCCTCTTCCGCTAAAAACTGAGGATTTCTGTTCATGAAGTGAGACAAAAACCTCCAACATGCCTGCCAGAGTGGGCCCCAGATGGAGTCTTGAAAGTAATTAATTTTCAGGCCATAGTTTAAAGGTCAGGGTTAAAGTGAAAAGAGCAAAATGAAGTAAAGATATTAGGAATAAAACAATCAAATGTGCACACTGTAATAGAAAAGACAACCAGAGTTAATATATTTCATTCTCTGGATCACCCTTAGAAATGTTTCAATATAATGTGAAAAAACTTAGCAGGCCAAAAGAAAAAGCAGATTAAAAAACAGTTCAATTAAAAAAATACCAACAACAAAAACCCCACAAACCCTCACAATGACCATAGTCTCAGAGCAAATGAAAAAACAAAACAGAAAGAAAACATATACAAACAAACCCTAATGCTCAGGTCTACCATCGACTCCATTCGGTTCTATTTTATCTTATGAATAAAGAAATCCCACATACAGGACAAAGGCAGGAGACTACAGGGGGTCTCGTCAGCTGTCTTCGGAGACAGTGCAATACGGTTGCTTCCCTGGTCATTATTCTGTGGTCTTTGCAAAAGACAAACAATTGGTATTTTTTTATTAATCGCATGCTGGAATTTGTCATTAGATATATTTTAGGGACACCATATTTCAATTAGGCATAATGTCATAAGTCCAATTGACTCTGGACGCTCCGGTCTAGATGATTTCAGGAGGGCAAGAATGTATCAGGAGACCGATTTTATTACATTTCACTTAAAATAGATTATGACCATCCAGTTCCACTCTTCCCTCCAATTTGGTCATTAATTGTTAAAGGTCTGGACATGTCTATAGTTCCCTGACAGAAGAGAAGTACTTACGCCGTGGTTGTTGGGAGCAAGTGTTTTGTTTTGGTCCCCTCTCCTTCTTCTGCTTATTGTGACATTTATAAAAGTCACAATGAGCAGAGCAAAATAAATGTGCATCTCTCTTCTGTGGAACAGACCCTGCCCACATTTCCTTCTCAGAGAGAGAAGGGGGAAAAAAATCATCACCAGAGAGACAGCGTTTTAAAATTTTGTTCTACGGCCCTGTAACTCCTGAAGCCGTAGTCAGTCAATATTGTTAATGTACCTTGTTAATTTGATAGGATTTGTCAGGTAACTCCACTGGAAAATTATATAAAACTGTTCCAGATGAAAAGATGATAGTGACATGAATTAAAGTGATAGAACAACAGTGGAATATAAACCAGAAATGACACCCAAAGTGGCTGTTGATTTATTGCCGTCCTGAGTTTGGTTCTGGGCTCCCATGTATATTAGTGCTACAAATCTGGGTCCATTTAGCAGAGGGATGCTCATACATACATCACCAGCTCCTGCTCCGAGCCAAGGTCACTCCCCATGGCATCAATCTTTTCAACAGAGCCTACTTCACAAAGCAGGGCTTTTGTAACCATCTCAGATGTAACAGACTTTAGTCCTCTTTCATCTTTCTTTTATCATGTAAAGTACGCTTTAACTTCTATTATTTTTATCTGCAAATTGTTACAGTATAGTTCATCCATTACAGGCTATATCTCCACATCAATTGCCCAAGCTCTGTGCAGCCACAAGAACACTTTCCCAATGACGCCCTTTCCTGGGGTTATTGTGCAGTCACTGTTCAGAGAGGAGAACCCCAAGTCTGGGGTTTGAGGATGAAGACGTGGGAGATGAATGCATTAGGTTCAAGATGGGCAGGCAGGTGGAACACCACTTAAACAATTGGCGTGTTCCGAAAAAGGAGCGCGTGAATCAGATTTTTTTCTGAATCAAATCACATTTCCCACTGACTTCTAGTTCCAGAGATACTTTATCTTCATTTTGGATTGATCTGTAATTGGCAGGGGCCCCCAACACTTGAGTTTTAAGTTTCTCTGCCCTGCAGGCTCTCAGTCAAGTAGTTAATGATCTGTAAAACCCTCGCCTGCCTAGAGGAGTCACTATTTAAAGGAACCTGTAGGGGAATCTTTCCTGATGGGAAAATCCTTTTGTACAATTAAATAATCTCATCCTCCTTGAGGTGTGTGTGAGTCTCAGCGTCTTCAAGCAGGGCCCACGGTCCCCCTGCTGGCTCTGGCTGGAGAAGTGGCAGCTCTCTAATTCTGGCCCGGGGGTGGGGGGCGGGGGCGGAGGCAGTCTATGGCAGGAGCCCAGGCTCCTGAGCACACCCAGCCCCCACTGCTGAAGAGAGTACCTGCAGAATCCAGCCTGGCAGCAGAGACCTCTTTTGTCCCTGACCTGGGATTCGGATGGATGTTTCCTTTTTGGTTTGAAGGAGGAGGCAGGCTGGTGGAGAGGAGACCAGTTCAGAGGCTGGTACCATAGTCCAGGCCAGGGGCAAAGAGGAGTGAACATTAACTGGCACCAACCATGTGCCAGCATGGCTAGAAACCCTTTGTGTAAGGGATTCAAGTCTCACAACCTTATAAAGTTGGTTACTACACTTATCCCTATTTTATAGAGGAGGAAACTGGAACAGGGAGGTTAAGTAACTTGTCCAAGATTGCACAGCTAAAAAGTGAGAAAGCCAGGCAACGCGGCTCCGGAGGGTGTCCTCTCAGACTACACTATTCCACAAGAACTGTGCCGGGTGTTCACACAGCACACCCCAGGGGAGGGGAAGGTGCTTGTCTAAGGCTGGAGAGCTTCTAAGTGGAAAAGCCATTTTCACACCCACAGCTTTTTGGTTCCCAAATTGCTCTGCACAGACTCATTCAGTTGAGTCAAGAGGACATAATGAGGAACTCTGCCCACCCAGTTTCAGTCTTCTCTCTTAATTTTCACCAAGGAACAAAGAGATATTCAAATGTGACAGTAAGTGCACACCTATTTCTGTTCATACATGGGAAATCCTATCAGTACTCTTTTGTGTTTTTGGGCCGCTGAACATGGTTTTGATTTCCCTGACTGAAGTTTTAGTAAAGCCACTGAAAGAAAGGCAGAGGCACTCCTCAAAGTGTTGCTATGCACTAGTTTTAAGAAATTCAAATCACAAACATACATCCAAGAAAACAAGGGAAGCCTGCTTTTGTTAAGTGTGTATTTCTCCAACTTAAATGGCCAACAACAGAGGACTAGCTAATCCAACCATGACGCAATAGAACACAACCAAGAAAAATTATGTGTGAGGAAAGCCTGACTTGGAGAAATTCTTACATCATGTGAAAAGTACAGAAAAATCATTTATAGAAAAGAGATGAAAAGGATATGCTGCAAACTGGCAACGGTGGTCAACTCTGGCTACATCCTTTCCTTTTCTGTAATAAATTTCCAAATAAAATTTCACCCAAATAAATCCAAACCTTTTTAAAAGTTGACTTTTTTGGGGTTTCCATTTCAGAATTCAGCATGATTGAATTCTGTCCTGGATAATCATGACAAGTGATGGCAACTGAAGGTTATTCCATCTGGCAGGTCTCAGTACCCAAGACTGAGCTGCTGGGAAGGGCTCCATTACGCCCAACCTGTGCCTCCCTCACAGTGGTGCCCGGAGGCTCCGCCCTACCAGCCATGGCAGGTGAGGAACAACAGAGCCCGGGCCTGGCCCTTCCTCCGGAAACAAGCGAGGCCATTTGTCTCCTTTACCAGGTTTCCCCCCACGCACCGGTCCTCAGCCACCTGCCATGACCTGTTCATGCTCCCACTTCTGACAGCTTCCCGATACGGGGAGTCCAGCTTCACTGGAAGCGAACTATCACACCACCGTCAGGGGCAGAAAACACCGCCTGATGGCTGTGCCACATCAATGCCGGCATATAAACCCTTCCTTAACAAGACTGCTCAGAATAAACAAAAATGCAACTCGGCCACAGACACAACTCTCTGGGGCAG